GTGACACTGCGGTATGTGTGGACGGTGACACGTACGCCCCTCTGGCCACTTTTCGTCAGGAGCCGGGCTCTGGTCTGTACACCCTCCGCACCGACCCCCGTCAGGTTCCCCCGTCCCACCAGGTAGCCGGGTCCAGTCAGGTTGCTGTGTCCGGTCTAGTTGCTGCGTCGTGCTCGTGTCGGTCGCTGTCCCACCCTGTCCTCCTCTGGCACCACCGCCTTGGTCACCCGTCCCTCTCTCGTCACTGTGCTATGTCCAGTCAGCGTCTTGTCTTAGGCCTCCCCCGCGACCTCCCGCCGCTCCCGCCGTCCCCCGCTCCTCCGTGCGGTCCTTGTGTCCAGGGTCGGCTGCGCGCCACTCCTCACTCCTCCTCCCTTCGTCCAGCCTCCGAGCCCTTTGAGACACTCCACTTAGACGTCTGGGGCCCCGCTCCCCGCCTTGGCCCTGAGCGAGAGAGCTTCCTCCTAGTGGTCGTTGACGACTACTCTCGGTACACCACCGTGTTCCCTTTGGCGAAGAAGTCCGACGTGACTTCTACGCTGATCCGGTGGCTGATAGCCACCGAGGGTACTCGTCGTCGTCGTGTCAGTTGTCTCCACTCCGACCGTGGGGGTGAGTTTCGCTCCGGCATTCTCGCCAGATTCTGTGCTGAGCAGGGCATCACCCAGTCCTGGACTCTCCCAGACTCTCCACAGCCTGAGCGCCGTTTAGGCCTGGTCATGGAGATTGCCCGCACCTCCATGATCCACGCCCGCGCGCCCCATTTTCTGTGGCCCTACGCGGCTCGGTACGCCGCTCACCAGCTGAACCTCTGGCCTCGCGTCTCTCGGCCAGGGGCTTCACCGACCAGTCTTTGGACAGGGTCCCCTGGTGTTGCGTCGAGGTTTAGTGTCTGGGGCTGCTTGGCGCTTGTCCGCGACACCTCTGCGGACAAGCTCTCACCTCGCGGCGTCCCCTGTGTCTTCCTTGGTTTCCCTGAGGCCTCCTCTGGTTTCACCTTTTACCACCCTCCCTCCCACCATTGACTCTTGTGACGTCACTTTCGACGAGTCCGTCCCCTACTACGTCCGGTACCCCTGTCGAGGTCTCCCGGTTCCCCCCCCTCCCCTCTTCCTCGCCCCAGCTCCTCCTCCTCCCGCTCCCGCTCCTCCGGTACCCCCCCCCGGTTCCCGCTCCGTCAGGTGTGTCCCACGCTACCCCTCCCCCCTCGGTACCCCCCCAGGTCTCTCCTCCTTCCCCACAGTCGTCCTCACAGCCTCCGCAGCAGCCGTCGGCGCTTCCTCTACTGGCCACTGCGGACTCTGAGGGTGTTGGTGCTCGAGGTGAGGGCTCTGGCGGTGCCGGTTCTGGGGGTGTTGGAGTTGGAGTTGAGCATGCACCTGCCGCAGCTGCACGTCCCGAGAGTACTGGAGCTGCTGGTGGTGCTGGAGCTGGTGGTGTTTCTGGAGCTGGAGAGTCTGGGGCTGGTGCTGGTGCCACTGGGCGCACCACGACTGGGGGTGCGGGTTTGCCTTCCACAGGTGCTGGTCGTGCTGCCGCAGGGGGCACTCGCTCTGGGGGTGCTCAGCCGAGCGTTGTCGAGGGTGGAGCCGGTTCGTCGTCTTCGTTTCCTGACCTCACTCCTCCTCCTCAGTCCTACTCGACTCGACACCAGGCCCGTCTTCGTCTTGAGCGTCTGGAGCAGCAGCGTTTGGAGCGTGAGAGGTTGGAATTTCAGCAGCGGGTGGAGCGTGAGAGGTTGGAGTTGCAGCGGGAGCAGCAGCAGCAGCAGCAGCAGCCGCCGCAGCAGCAGCAGCAGCAGCCGGAGCAGTCTCCGGCCCCTGTTTCTGGCCTTCTCCCCTCCTCTCCTCTTGTGTTCGGTCCTACGTTTCCTCCTCCGGACTCCGCTCCGGCTGTGTTCCCTCGTTCTCGCTCTCCCCCCTCTCCCTCTCCACTTGCCCACACTTGGGCCCCTCGTCCTCCTCGTGATCGTCCCTCGTCCCCTGTCACTGACCTTCGTGCTGCCTTGTTTCACCCTAGCCCTCCTCGTTCTCCTCCGTCTGTTCTCCCTCGTCCTCCTGAGTCGTCCCTCACTGCCGCCCTGTCCACTCCTGTCACTGACTACTACCGCACTTACCGTCCCACTCTCTCTCGTGTTCTCGCCTCTCTTGTTACGGACCCTCGTGCCTCTCCTTCCTCTGTCGCAGTCCTCACTGCCGCTGTCACTGACTTTACTGCCACGCGTCGCCTTGACTACGCCACTCGTGTTGTGGCAGCTCCTCCTGTCCGTCCTCTGTCCGCCGGGGGTGTGTCTGCCCTTGGCTGTGACGTCCTAGAGGACAGACAGTTTGAGCTAGAGTTTCTGGCAGCTGCTTCGCCTCATCTCTGTGCCATGCTCCTTGCTCCTGAGGGTGACCCCGACGCTCCTGACATACCTACTCCTCGCACTTACGCTGAGGCAGTGTCAGGGCCTTGGGCCTCTCAGTGGCGAGCTGCCATGGACGCAGAGATGGCCTCCTACAGGTCCACAGGCACTTACGTTGACGACGTTCCCCCACCAGGGGCGAACATAGTCGACGGCATGTGGATCTTCAAGGTGAAGCGGCCGCCGGGATCTCCCCCAGTCTTCAAGGCGCGCTACGTGGCTAGAGGTTTTAGTCAGCGCGAGGGAGTCGACTTCTTTCAGACCTTCGCGCCCACCCCGAAGATGACCACTCTTCGGGTGTTGCTTCACGTAGCGGCGCAGAGAGACTACGAGCTACACTCCCTCGACTTCTCCACCGCCTTCCTGCAGGGCAGCCTACACGAGGAGATCTGGCTGCGTCGTCCTCCGGGCTTCACTGGCACCTTCCCGCCTGGGACCCAGTGGAGCCTCAGACGACCGGTCTACGGTCTCCGCCAGGCACCCCGCGAGTGGCACGACACTCTTCGTTCTACTCTTTCCGACCTTGGTTTTCAGCCGTCCTCCGCCGACCCGTCGCTGTTTGTTCGTCGTGGGCGCACACCTTTCTTTGTTCTGGTCTACGTTGACGACTTGGTCTTTGCCACAGCCGACACAGTTGCACTGGCGGAGGTGAAGTCCGAACTGCAGAAGAGACACACCTGCACTGACCTTGGGGAACTGCGCCGCTACCTTGGCTTGCAGATCTCCAGGGACAGAGCCGCTCGCACCATCACTCTGACTCAGTCACACATGGTGCAGCAGGTCCTTCAGCGGTTCGGGCTTCAGCACTCCTCTCCTACACCCACTCTTCTTGCTGTAGACCACAGACTCACTGGGCCTTTTCCTGACGAGCCGTTCGAGCCCAGTGGTCCCTACGCAGAGCTGGTGGGCTGCCTCATGTACCTGATGACGTGCACTCGCCCGGACCTCGCCTTCCCTCTTAGCATCCTTTCTCGCTTTGTTGCGACTGGGAGACACCGTCCTGTTCACTGGACGGCGGCTAAGAGGGTGGCGAAGTACCTGGCCACGACGTCAGACATGGGGCTTGTACTTGGAGGGACTCAGCCAGTTGTACTCACAGGTCACTATGACTCCTCGTACGCGGACGACCTTGAGACTCAGAGGTCTACACAAGGTTACTGTTTCAGTCTGGGTTCTGGAGCTGTTTCGTGGAGGTCTACTCGGTCCTCCTCTGTTGCGACTTCTACCGCAGAGGCCGAGATCTACGCTGGAGCCCTTGCTGCACAGGAGCTGCGCTGGTTGACCTTCTTGCTCACTGACCTTGGTGAGCGGCCGAGCTCTGCACCGACCTTGTTTGCTGACAACAAGGCGATGATTCTCCTGTGTCGTGAGCCGCGACTGGAGAGCAGAGTGAAGCACATTGACGTCAGGTACTTCCTCCTTCGAGAGTTGCAGAGACGCGGGCAGGCTCGTCTGGACTTTGTGGCCTCCGAGGCCAACACTGCAGACATCTTCACCAAGGCCCTCCAGCCTTGTGACCACCGCCGGTTTTGTCTGCAGTTAGGCCTCGTTGAGACTGGGTCTAGTTGACTGCAGTAGGTTGCTCTTTGCCTCTTGTTTGTTTGTTTCTTAAATATTAGTTTGTACACTTTTTTGGACTGGCCTTGTGGCCGCTTGCTTGTGCTCAGACTGTGTGGTGACGTTGTGATCCACCCTGAGCTTTGTTTTCTCTCTTGCTTGTGACTGGTCTTGTGACCTTAGGTTACATGTTTTTGATTGGCCTTCCTCACTTAGGCTATGGGGGTGTGTCAAATGTTATAGCCTCTAGTGGGTTATGCTATATGGGGTACAACAGGTTAGGGTTAGGCATATGTACCCCAACTCTGTCAATGCAACACATTCCGCTGCCTTTAGTTTCAGACATACAGGCAGTTATAATATAATGAATACAGTTATATTCTGACATATAATGAAGTGCATTAGTCTAATCTGTCGATATTAAAATCTCCCTCTTTTGACAGGGTCCGTACCGAACTTCACTAACAAACCTTTTGCTGCTACACTACATGCAATCAATCTGAGACGGTTTTGTAAACGTCATTTCATATTGTAAGAGTCCAATCCAATCCTTCGATTACTTCAACAACCAGGATATGATGTGCGACCGCATCATCAGTTGTACTAATCGGCGGTGCTGGGACGGTCAAATCCGTTCATTGTTTTAGCTCAATACGTTGATTTCACACTAACAAATATTTCCTCAATATTTTAAGCATTTATCTGAACGCAGTTTCAAAACTTGCAAGTGGTTGCTATTTAGAGTGCTAAAAAAATGACTCGTAAAATGATATCCCCGAAATGTGGAACCAATTATATAGGGTTGCTAAGCAGCCCAAAAATGCTTTCGGTATTATGCTTTTGCCACTAACGAACGACTCCAGCAATTCCCGCGCTCTCTCGCTCACGCCAAGCGTCGACGCGCACGCGCCTGACAAACTCCCGACAGACAGATTCCCAACAGTAGACCGATCGATCCACTTCTGCAAAATAGTTGCGTACGCCGGAAAATCGACTCGACGCCCACATACCTCTTACAGCGCGCCAATCAGCGGGCGCCATGTCAGGGTGGGACGAGGGGCAGGTGTTCTACAGCAACCAGTCGTTCCCCGAGTCGGAAGGGCCGGCCGGCGACGACGCGCTGGGCGACGCGGGAATCACGCGATATGCCGCGCAGAAGAAGCTTCGCGAGTTCGTGCGAAACTTCCACGATCCGCAGTACCATGACCGCTTCATCTACAGGTGCGTCGTTCGTGCGGTAACCCGCTGCCCGCGTTTCCGCATCTTCCGCTGCCGCGGCCACCTCATTCCGCACCGTGCGGTCCCCGCCCCTGTTCAATGCGGGCGCCTTCCTTTTCTGCGTCCAGCTGGGCTTTAGAATCTCTCACAAAACGACTGATCCGCGCTGTGAGATTCCCGTCGTCCCCCGCGCGCTGTGCGCTCTCCCGTCACGCGGTCCGCGCCCGTCCTTAGTAACATTTTCCCTCCCCTAATCCCGCCCCTTCCTTTCTAGCATTGTCCCTCCCCCAATCCGCCTGTTCCTGCTTCACATGGCTCGGGCTGCACAGCACACGTCGTCTCCCGTTTCCCTTCTCCCACGGCAACCCCACTTCCCCCCATTTCCCCCCTTCTCCTCATTCCCCCCTTCCTCCCATTCCTCCCCTTCCCCTCATTTTCCCCCTCCCCCCATTCCCCCCCTTCCCCCCATGGCGCAGGGAGCGGCTGCAGGAGGGCGGGGGAGTGCTGGAGGACGTGGCGGTTTGGGGCCGGCTAACAGCACACCGTCTCTCCCCCCTCTCGTTCCCCACCCCGCCGTCACCCCCGGCTGTTGCAGGGAGCGGCTGCAGGAGGGCGGGGGAGTGCTGGAGGTGGACCTGGAGGACCTGGCGAGCAAGGAGGAGGGGCTGTGCCGCCTCATGCGCACCCGCCCCGCTGATATGCTGCCGCTGGTCGGTGGGATTCCCATGGATTTGTATTGCCCTGCTCTACTTGTTTCTCATAAGCATCCCTATGTGCTTGTCTCTCTCTCTCTCTCTGCCTGCTCTTGGCCTCCTTGCTTCTCCCGCTTCTGCGCTCCCTTCAATCCTCCCACTCCCCCCTCCCTCTTTCTCACCCGCCCTGTGCTGACGTGGCAGTTGGAGGTGGCAGCAGCTGAGGTGGCAGCGAGTGTGCGGCAGAAGGTGATGGGGGAGGGTGGGGAGCTGGAGGATGCGCGAGTGCCGCCCGTGCAGGTGTTGCTCAAGAGCTCTGAAGACGCCATGCCCATCAGGGCTTTAACGGTGCGTGCCATGCCCATCAGGGCTTTAACGGTGCATGCCATGCCTTGCCGTGTCTTGCCTTGCATCGCGTGCACTACTTTCTCTGCCCTTACTCCCAACCATGTTGCGCCATGATTCCTCTCTGCAGACCTTTCTTCCATGGTCCCGTTCCGTTCCAGTTCCTCTCTTTTCTTCTGGTGCGCTAGCAGACTGAGTGTGCTGCGTCGCAGCCAAGTGGTTTTTAATTGAACCCTGACAGAACTTCTCCCAACAACCCTTTCTTCCCCCCCACCAGGCAGCACAACCCTGTCTCCCCCCCTCCCCCCAACCCCCCCCCCCTTTGTCCATGGGGTGAAGATATCACGCATTGCGATCGCTTCGTTTCTTGGCCTCCGACCTTCTCCCTCCACCCCCCACCAGGCGGCACAAACATCTCATCTGGTGATGATCGCAAGCATTGTATTTCCACCTCTTATCTTGCTTGCTCTCCCTCGCCCTCCCCCCTCTCCGCACTCCTTTCCACCGCTCACCTCACCAGGCGACACAGATCTCGCATCTAGTGAAGATCTCGGCTCGGGCGTCGTGATTGCTTCGTTTCTCTCCCATCTAGTGAGGACCTCTGCCTCCCCTTCCTCCCCCCACACCTCACCAGGCGGCACAGATCTCGCATCTGGTGAAGATCTCGGGCATCGTGATTGCATCCTCGCGCGCCAAGGCGAAGGCGACGTCGGTGGTGCTGATGTGCCGCGCCTGCAAGAACGTCAAGGCCATCCCCTGCCGCCCGGGGCTGGGAGGCGCCATCATCCCCCGCACATGCGACCGCACCCCCCAGGTGGGTTTCATTGCACATGCGACCGCACCCCCCAGGTGGGTTTCGTTTTCATTTCCCATGGGCTAGAAAACGAATGAGCGAATTTGATGCGTCTGATGCAAGGTTATCTAGATGGGCGTTTTGGTGTAGGCAGGCTGAGTTGAGGGGTTGATGGGCGTTCGGAGCATTGCGGAGGAGAGAACCACTTCCTTCCATGCTGGTCCCAGAAGGGTCCATGCGGGGAGGTCCTATGTGTGGAGCTGGTGCTTATAAAAATGAGAACTCTTTTTTTTTCCTTCGCTCCTTTCTCCTTTTCCTTGTGATGTTTCAAACCTGATTTCTCCATTATTTCCCTCCCCTTCCTTGCTTATCGTCTTCCTCTTTTTCCTTCTCCCGCCGCCCTCCATGCACCCGTTGTGTGTGCGAGCAGCCAGGCGAGGAGCCATGCGGGGTGGACCCGTGGGTGGTGCTGCCGGATAGAAGCGAGTACGTGGACCAGCAGACCCTCAAACTGCAGGAGAATCCCGAGGTAACTGAGGAGAATCACGAGGTAACTGAGGAGAATCACGAGGTAACTGAGGAGAATCACGAGGTAACTGAGGAGAATCACGAGGTAACTGAGGAGAATCACGAGGTAACTGAGGAGAATCACGAGGTAACTGAGGAGAATCACGAGGTAACTGAGGAGAATCACGAGGTAACTGAGGAGAATCACGAGGTAACTGAGGAGAATCACGAGGTAACTGAGGAGAATCACGAGGTAACTGAGGAGAATCACGAGGTAACTGAGGAGAATCACGAGGTAACTGAGGAGAATCACGAGGTAACTGAGGAGAATCACGAGGTAACTGAGGAGAATCACGAGGTAACTGAGGAGAATCACGAGGTAACGCAGGAGTCGTTGGAGTAGGTCCAGGGAAAACTGTCTGCGAATCTTCATGGAAGGTCACTATGCCGCACGCATGCCCCATGCGGAGGGATGAGATGCGGTGCAGTGTGGTGCTGGCGGTGGACTTCCCGCTGCTACAGCATGATGCTTGCACTGCAAGCACACCATGAACCTCGGGCCATGCCCCATGCGCCATGCCCTAGGGATGAGCACCGGGCGGGCCGGCCCGGCCCGGGTCGGGCTCACCCCGGGCTGTGCAAAAAAGCGGGCCGGCCCGGCCCGGCCGACCCGGGCATTAGAAGGAAACTCTTGGCCCGAGCCCGCCCTTAAGGCGGGCGGGCCGTGCCCGGCCCGACCTGGGCTCTGCAGGGCCCGACCCGGGCCGGGCCGGCCCGGCCCGGGTGCTGTCATAATCGCCCACAGGATGTATTTTTGGGCTGTATCTGTTGTATATTTGTGCTCCGATGCGGCCCCGCCCGGCCCGGCCCGGCGGGGGCGGCTGCGGCCCGGCGGGCCGGGCCAGCCCGGCCCGCCCCGGGCCCACGTCGAAATCATGATGCCCGGCCCGGGGCATTTCCGGGCGGGCCCGACCCGGGCGGGCCCAGGCCCGCCCTCATGCTCATCCCTACCATGCCCCATGCGCCATGCCCCATGCGCCATGCCCCATGCCCCATGCCCATTGCCCCATGCCCCATTCGCCATGCCCCATGCCCATTGCCCCATGCGTCATGGCCATTGCCCCATTCCTCATCTGGCATGACAGATGCAGCATGTCAAGCTCCTTCCCATGCCTCATGACCCACGCCCCATGCACCATTTCCCTCAGCACGTCCCCACGGGTGAGATGCTGCGCCGTGTGCTGCTGGCGGTGGACTGCTCGCTGCTGCAGCGCATGATGTGTGCACACTGCCCAATGCACACCGTCAACCTTGCCTTGCCCCAAGCCCCTTGCCTCCACGCCCCTCAGGACGTGCCAACAGGTGAGATGCCGCGCAGTGTGCTGCTCGCGGTGGATCGCTCGCTGGTGCACCGCATCGCCCCTGGCACGCGCATCACCGTGTTTGGCATCTTCAGCATCTTCCAGGCCTCCGATAAATCCAAGTGAGCTGCCTGCTTGCCGACCAGAAGGCTGAATTGTGCGAGTGTGAGCAGAGTGAGATGAAAGCTTACTTACTCTCACAGTCCGCCTACATTCTCCACTGCCGCGTGCATCACTGTGTTCAGCATCTTCCAGGCTTCCAATAAAGCACGTGACATGCATGCAGGCTAAGGGGCTGAATTGTGTGTGTGGGAGCAAAACCGAGTGAGGTGATGATTGGTCTCTCATCCCACTCAACTCGAGCGCTTTGGCATTCTAACACCTTGGAGTGCGCAGTTAAAAGCATGTGTGATGCATGTATGATGGGTTCGGGGGAGATGAGGTCCATCCCTGAGGTGCCTGAATGCGTCCTCCAGCCTGCCAGCACAACCAAGCGAGATGGAAGGAGTTCAGCAAGCCTTGGCGGTGCCCAGCCTTGGCAGTGCCCAGCCTTGGCAGTGCCCAGCCTTGGCAGTGCCCAGCCTTGGCGGTGCCCAGCCTTGGCAGTGCCCAGCCTTGGCGGTGCCCAGCCTTGGCAGTGCCCAGCCTTGGCAGTGCCCAGCCTTGGCGGTGCCCAGCCTTGGCAGTGCCCAGCCTTGGCAGTGCCCAGCCTTGGCAGTGCCCAGCCCTGGCGGTGCCCAGCCTTGGCGGTGCCCAGCCTTGGAGTTGCCCATCCGGCAGCCCTGTCTGTGTCCGGTTGGGGTGGAGATGGCCTCTTTGCTCTCCTCTCGCCCTCTATGGCTCTTCTCATCCATTCCTCTTCCTTCCCCATCTTTTTCTCTCCTCTCATGTCCCAAGGTGCCATGGCGGTGGCAATATGGCAAACTTCCCTGCGTGGGGTGGGCGTCAAGATGTCGTTCTGTTGCCCCCTCTTCCTTCTTACGTTCCCCACGCTTCCCACCTCGTACTGCTATCCCTCCCTTCATCCCCATCTCTCCTCTCCTCTCCCCCTCAGGTCCTGAGGTGCCATGGCGGTGGCAATACGGCAGCCATACCTGCGAGTGGCGGGGGTGGAGATGGCACCACCGCCCCACTCACCCGCAATTCCCGCTCTCTCCCCCTCCTCTGCTCCCTGTGACCCCGCCTGTCAGGTCGCGAGGGGCCATGGCGGTGGCAATACGGCAGCCATACCTGCGAGTGGTGGGGGTGGAGATGCCTGCAGATGGCGCTGCCAGGTCCACCGCCTCCTCCTTCACCACTGACGAGGTCCGTTGGCGCGTTGACTTGCGCTGACTGGTGTTGACTGGTGTTGACTTGCGTTGACTTGCGTCGACTGGCGTTGACTCCCTTGACAATTTCCGGCCCACACTGACTTAAATTGTTTCACCGAGCTTGCATGTTGATTCCGGATTGCCAGATAGCGAAAACCGCCACTCAATAATCACCCTCTCCCCCCCCCGGGCCCGCTCGGGCCCTTCCCCCATGCCTCCCTGCCGCCCCCCCCACAGGAGGCGGAGTTTTAGGACTTGAGTCGATGTTCAGGCATTTCTCAGCGAGCTGCACGCGTGCAGTAGGCTTAAGCAAAAGCGCAACCGCGGAATCCACTCCCCCTCCCCCGCTCCACACAGGAGGCGGAGTTCAAGGACTTGAGCCGGCAGGGCGACGTGTACGGCGCCATAAGCAGCCAGATTGCGCCGTCCATCTTCGGCCACGCCGACATCAAGAAGGCCATCGCCTGCCTGCTCTTCGGTGGCGCTCGCAAGGTGGGGTGGGCCATCCATGTGCGATGAGGGATGGGTGGGGAACACGAGAGCAGGAAGGTGGGAGAGTGTGAGCCTGGATGGTGGGGTGCCATGCGCCACCTTGAGGGGTGCCATGCGCCACCTTGTAAAAACCACCTGGCCAGGAGGGTGGGATGGATGCTTTCCTTGCATCGCCTTAACATGTGCACTGCTCCTTGTCCACGCTGTGCCCTTCCATCACATGCCGTGTTTTGTCCGGTTTTTTTGTGTTGTTCATCCTTCGTTGATGGTTCCATCTATGCCTTCTCTCTCCCTCTGCCCCCTTATTTCTCTGCTGCTCCCTCGTCCACCAATCAGTTACTGCCAGATGGCGCAAGGCTGAGAGGCGACATCAACGTGCTGCTGATTGGTGATCCCTCCACCGCCAAGTCCCAGGTGAGTCAGCATGAGTCACAGCTGAGTCAGCACTTGTAGGTTCAATACTGCTTCTAACCTGCGTCCATTTCCTCCAATTGCCTCAAATTGCACACCCATCCCCGTGTTTTCAGACGTCTCAATCTCTGTGCGGCCTATTTGTTTTTCAACGCAAACCATCAACCATTCCTTTCTCCCCTCCCCCCCCTCCCTCCACACGTGTTCCTTTTGTGCAGTTTCTCAAGTTTGTGGAGAAGACAGCGCCCATAGCGGTGTACACGTCAGGGAAGGGCTCCTCTGCTGCGGGTCTCACCGCCTCCGTCATTCGTGATGCCTCCTCTGTCAGTCCTGCGCCATACCAACCCACTAGTTCTTCCCCCAATTTAGTATGCCTTTCTTTGTGCTTTTGTTTGTTTTGTTTTGTCTTATTTGGTGGTTTTTTTCTTTCTTTTTTTCCTTCCTTTCCTTGGTTTTTTTGCCTCTGTATTTGTTTGTGACCCCCTGCTATTGATCTGTTTCCCTGTGTTTAATCCGTTTCCGTGTTATTTATGCATTTCCCTGCCATTCATCGATGATCCTCCCTCCCGCAAACGGCACGGCACGGCATGGTATGGCATGGCATGGCATGGGGGCCAGAGGGAGTTTTACCTGGAGGGGGGCGCCATGGTGCTGGCAGACGGTGGTGTGGTGTGCATCGATGAGTTCGACAAGATGCGCCCTGAGGACAGGTGGGGTGAGGGTTTCAGGGGGACAGGTGCGCCCTGAGGACAGGTGGGCTTGGGGTTTCAGGTTTGGGGCTTGGGTTGAGGGATTAGTGTTTAGGACAGGTGGGTTGGACAAGATGCGCCCTGACGAGAGGTGGGGGCGGAGGGGGGGGGGGGATGAGGTGGCAGGCATGAACCAGGAAGGAAGCATGAATAAAGAATGGCATGAGATGACATGCGATGGCATGAGACGGCATGAGATGGCATGAGACGGCATGAGACGGCATGAACGAACAAGTTGTTCCACGAGGAGACGTGGAAAAGGGGTGGGAGGGATGGATGAGGCCAGGCCAGAGTCGCCTGCGTCCACAGAGCTGTGATCCATTCCATGGAAGTGTTGAGCAGCTCATGAATCTCACTGTATGCTTTGCCGCTCGCTCTGCCCCATGCTCACCACACAGTGGCGATTTTGAGTCGACTCGAAAGCCGCGCCCTCTGCCCCATGTGCCCCACACAGTGGTGAACCACAAGGCGGTGGAGCAGCAAGGCCATCACCAAGGCGGGCATCGCCACTCGCGCACCTCCCTTGTTCCCTGTGACCAGCGTGCTTGCACGTTCTAACCACACACACCATGGATGCTGCAGAGTGGAGTGGCAATCCACGCGGCAACGAAGCATGCGTCTCACATGTGTGCTTTGCTTTGCCCCATGCAAGTCACTCAGTGTGTTCTCCCCACCCTTGGGCCCCACAGGGTGGCGATACATGAGGCGATGGAGCAGCAGACGATAAGCATCGCCAAGGCGGGCATCACCACGGTCCTCAACTCGCGCACCTCCGTGCTCGCCGCTGCCAACCCGCCCTCGGGGCGATACGACGACCTCAAGGTGAGGCAAGGAACGAGACGAGCGGGTGGGGGGGATCAAGAGGGGGGGTTGTTGGGGAGACGCTATCTTTGTGCTGCCATGTGCTGCCACATCTTGCCATGTTATGCCCCGGAATGATCGTTTCGTGCATCACATCCCCCCGTGTCCCTCTCTCCTGGTCCATCCCTCCTCTCTCACCCCCCACAGACAGCACAGGAGAACATAGATCTGCAGAGCACCATTCTGTCGCGCTTCGACCTCATCTTCGTCGTCAAGGACACCCGCGACTTCAACCGCGACCTCGTGCGCCCCTCCCCCTCCCCTCCCCTCCCCCTCCCCTCCCCCTCCCCTCCCCCTCCCCTCCCCCTCCCCCCCTCCTCCCCTCCCCCTCCCCTCCTGCCTTTGGCCTACCTTCCATTCCTCATCTTTCATTAGAGCATTTTTTTCGAATGCTGCTCTTTCAGTCTGCATGGGTGAGTCCCAACCTTCATTCTAACAATGTTTTGTGTGTAAATTTGCTGGGCTCATCTTTGTTATCAGGGGCACATGTGGTCTCAACATGACCTGCTCTCTGTTTCCTCCCAATAACAACTGCTTGGCTGAATCCACCTCCTTTTATTGCCTGCTCAATTTGCATGTCTGAAGATTTGACCCAATCGTCACTGCCAAAGATACTCGTGCAAACGCCCGTTCTCAAGATTGTCTATGCGAGGTCCCAGCCTGAGCTCCTATTTTACTTGCACCTGTGCCTCTTCCCCCGTGACTGACCCTCCTCTCATGCAGCAAATCGCGCGGCATGTGGTGAACGTGCATGCCAAGGCGGATGCGGTGGTGGGGCAGGCGGACGATGCCATGGGGGGAAGGGCCGCCATGGGGGATGGTCCTGCTGGGGCGGGGGGCGTGGGGCACACGGGGAAGGATGGGGAGCAGGAGAACTGGCTCAAGAGGTGAGGAGGAGGGGGAGCAGAGAATTGGCAAACGGTGGAGTAGGGGAATTGCGTCCGCTGATCCAGTTACCAGTATTCCCCTTTGCATCACCAACTGCATTGAGCCTTTACCTCTTGCCTCCAAAGTTGTGATTTGAAAAAGCCATTGCGGACCTCCCTCCTCCCCTTGTGCTGCTGTTTGTTGTCATAAACTCCTCCCATCAGGTACATAGAGTTTGCTCGCACGCGCTGCTCACCACGGCTGTCAGAGTCGGCAGCAACGCTCCTGCAAAACAACTATGTGCAGATCCGCCAGGTGAGGTGTGGGTTGATACGGCAGGTGTGGGCTCATCCGCAACACATCACATCACATTGCACTGCACTGCACCATACCGCATCCCACCTCACCGTTGCTGCGCCACGTAACCCAGCATCATGCCCACATCACCCCGTCTCCCCTCAGAACATGCGGCGGAGGGCAACGGAGACGGGGGAGGCATCAGCACTGCCAATCACGGTTCGCCAGCTGGAGGCCATCGTGAGGCTCTCAGAGTCCATGGCACGCATGCAGCTGTGAGTGACATGGCATGCAGCTGTGAGTGACGTGCCATGCAGCTGTGAGTGACGTGGCATGCATCTGTGAGTGATGTGGCATGCAGTTGTGAGTGACGTGGCATGCAGCTGTGAGTGACGTGGCATGCATCTGTGAGTGATGTGGCATGCAGCTGTGAGTGACGTAGCATGCAGCTGTGAGTGATGTGGCATGCAGCTGTGAGTGACGTTGCATGTAGCTGTGAGGGTAGCATACAACTATTTTATTTGGCAATGTGGTCTCCTCCTGTCCTCCCCTCCTTCACTTCCTCCATACCCCATCATCTCCAAACCCCCTCTCCCACACCCCTTCTCCCACACCCCTTCTCCCACACCCCTTCTCCCACACCCCTTCCCCTTCTCCCCCCCCCCCAGCTCCCCAGTGGCCACGGAGGAGCACGTCATGGAGGCGCTGCGTCTCTTCCATGTCGCGACGCTGGACGCCGCCCGGTCGGGCGTGGTGGACGGCGCAGTGCTCACGGACGAGCAGCGCCGCGAGGTGCAGCAGGTGGAGGGCGCGGTGCGGCGCCGCGTGGCCATCGGGGGCTTCGTGTCCGAGCGGCGCCTGCTGGATGACATCACACGGTCGGGCATCAGTGAGAGTGCGGTGAGTCCTGGGCTGTGAGAGTGCGGTGAGTCCTGGGCTGTGAGAGTGCGGTGAGTCCTGGGCTGTGAGAGTGCGGTGAGTCCTGGGCTGTGAGAGTGCGGTGAGTCCTGGGCTGTGAGAGTGCGGTGAGTCCTGGGCTGTGAGAGTGCGGTGAGTCCTGGGCTGTGAGAGTGCGGTGAGTCCTGGGCTGTGAGAGTGCGGTGAGTCCTGGGCTGTGAGAGTGCGGTGAGTCCTGGGCTGTGAGAGTGCGGTGAGTCCTGGGCTGTGAGAGTGCGGTGAGTCCTGGGCTGTGAGAGTGCGGTGAGTCCTGGGCTGTGAGAGTGCGGTGAGTCCTGGGCTGTGAGAGTGCGGTGAGTCCTGGGCTGTGAGAGTGCGGTGAGTCCTGGGCTGTGAGAGTGCGGTGAGTCCTGGGCTGTGAGAGTGCGGTGAGTCCTGGGCTGTGAGAGTGCGGTGAGTCCTGGGCTGTGAGAGTGCGGTGAGTCCTGGGCTGTGAGAGTGCGGTGAGTCCTGGGCTGTGAGAGTGCGGTGAGTCCTGGGCTGTGAGAGTGCGGTGAGTCCTGGGCTGTGAGAGTGCGGTGAGTCCTGGGCTGTGAGAGTGCGGTGAGTCCTGGGCTGTGAGAGTGCGGTGAGTCCTGGGCTGTGAGAGTGCGGTGAGTCCTGGGCTGTGAGAGTGCGGTGAGTCCTGGGCTGTGAGAGTGCGGTGAGTCCTGGGCTGTGAGAGTGCGGTGAGTCCTGGGCTGTGAGAGTGCGGTGAGTCCTGGGCTGTGAGAGTGCGGTGAGTCCTGGGCTGTGAGAGTGCGGTGAGTCCTGGGCTGTGAGAGTGCGGTGAGTCCTGGGCTGTGAGAGTGCGGTGAGTCCTGGGCTGTGAGAGTGCGGTGAGTCCTGGGCTGTGAGAGTGCGGTGAGTCCTGGGCTGTGAGAGTGCGGTGAGTCCTGGGCTGTGAGAGTGCGGTGAGTCCTGGGCTGTGAGAGTGCGGTGAGTCCTGGGCTGTGAGAGTGCGGTGAGTCCTGGGCTGTGAGAGTGCGGTGAGTCCTGGGCTGTGAGAGTGCGGTGAGTCCTGGGCTGTGAGAGTGCGGTGAGTCCTGGGCTGTGAGAGTGCGGTGAGTCCTGGGCTGTGAGAGTGCGGTGAGTCCTGGGCTGTGAGAGTGCGGTGAGTCCTGGGCTGTGAGAGTGCGGTGAGTCCTGGGCTGTGAGAGTGCGGTGAGTCCTGGGCTGTGAGAGTGCGGTGAGTCCTGGGCTGTGAGAGTGCGGTGAGTCCTGGGCTGTGAGAGTGCGGTGAGTCCTGGGCTGTGAGAGTGCGGTGAGTCCTGGGCTGTGAGAGTGCGGTGAGTCCTGGGCTGTGAGAGTGCGGTGAGTCCTGGGCTGTGAGAGTGCGGTGAGTCCTGGGCTGTGAGAGTGCGGTGAGTCCTGGGCTGTGAGAGTGCGGTGAGTCCTGGGCTGTGAGAGTGCGGTGAGTCCTGGGCTGTGAGAGTGCGGTGAGTCCTGGGCTGTGAGAGTGCGGTGAGTCCTGGGCTGTGAGAGTGCGGTGAGTCCTGGGCTGTGAGAGTGCGGTGAGTCCTGGGCTGTGAGAGTGCGGTGAGTCCTGGGCTGTGAGAGTGCGGTGAGTCCTGGGCTGTGAGAGTGCGGTGAGTCCTGGGCTGTGAGAGTGCGGTGAGTCCTGGGCTGTGAGAGTGCGGTGAGTCCTGGGCTGTGAGAGTGCGGTGAGTCCTGGGCTGTGAGAGTGCGGTGAGTCCTGGGCTGTGAGAGTGCGGTGAGTCCTGGGCTGTGAGAGTGCGGTGAGTCCTGGGCTGTGAGAGTGCGGTGAGTCCTGGGCTGTGAGAGTGCGGTGAGTCCTGGGCTGTGAGAGTGCGGTGAGTCCTGGGCTGTGAGAGTGCGGTGAGTCCTGGGCTGTGAGAGTGCGGTGAGTCCTGGGCTGTGAGAGTGCGGTGAGTCCTGGGCTGTGAGAGTGCGGTGAGTCCTGGGCTGTGAGAGTGCGGTGAGTCCTGGGCTGTGAGAGTGCGGTGAGTCCTGGGCTGTGAGAGTGCGGTGAGTCCTGGGCTGTGAGAGTGCGGTGAGTCCTGGGCTGTGAGAGTGCGGTGAGTCCTGGGCTGTGAGAGTGCGGTGAGTCCTGGGCTGTGAGAGTGCGGTGAGTCCTGGGCTGTGAGAGTGCGGTGAGTCCTGGGCTGTGAGAGTGCGGTGAGTCCTGGGCTGTGAGAGTGCGGTGAGTCCTGGGCTGTGAGAGTGCGGTGAGTCCTGGGCTGTGAGAGTGCGGTGAGTCCTGGGCTGTGAGAGTGCGGTGAGTCCTGGGCTGTGAGAGTGCGGTGAGTCCTGGGCTGTGAGAGTGCGGTGAGTCCTGGGCTGTGAGAGTGCGGTGAGTCCTGGGCTGTGAGAGTGCGGTGAGTCCTGGGCTGTGAGAGTGCGGTGAGTCCTGGGCTGTGAGAGTGCGGTGAGTCCTGGGCTGTGAGAGTGCGGTGAGTCCTGGGCTGTGAGAGTGCGGTGAGTCCTGGGCTGTGAGAGTGCGGTGAGTCCTGGGCTGTGAGAGTGCGGTGAGTCCTGGGCTGTGAGAGTGCGGTGAGTCCTGGGCTGTGAGAGTGCGGTGAGTCCTGGGCTGTGAGAGTGCGGTGAGTCCTGGGCTGTGAGAGTGCGGTGAGTCCTGGGCTGTGAGAGTGCGGTGAGTCCTGGGCTGTGAGAGTGCGGTGAGTCCTGGGCTGTGAGAGTGCGGTGAGTCCTGGGCTGTGAGAGTGCGGTGAGTCCTGGGCTGTGAGAGTGCGGTGAGTCCTGGGCTGTGAGAGTGCGGTGAGTCCTGGGCTGTGAGAGTGCGGTGAGTCCTGGGCTGTGAGAGTGCGGTGAGTCCTGGGCTGTGAGAGTGCGGTGAGTCCTGGGCTGTGAGAGTGCGGTGAGTCCTGGGCTGTGAGAGTGCGGTGAGTCCTGGGCTGTGAGAGTGCGGTGAGTCCTGGGCTGTGAGAGTGCGGTGAGTCCTGGGCTGTGAGAGTGCGGTGAGTCCTGGGCTGTGAGAGTGCGGTGAGTCCTGGGCTGTGAGAGTGCGGTGAGTCCTGGGCTGTGAGAGTGCGGTGAGTCCTGGGCTGTGAGAGTGCGGTGAGTCCTGGGCTGTGAGAGTGCGGTGAGTCCTGGGCTGTGAGAGTGCGGTGAGTCCTGGGCTGTGAGAGTGCGGTGAGTCCTGGGCTGTGAGAGTGCGGTGAGTCCTGGGCTGTGAGAGTGCGGTGAGTCCTGGGCTGTGAGAGTGCGGTGAGTCCTGGGCTGTGAGAGTGCGGTGAGTCCTGGGCTGTGAGAGTGCGGTGAGTCCTGGGCTGTGAGAGTGCGGTGAGTCCTGGGCTGTGAGAGTGCGGTGAGTCCTGGGCTGTGAGAGTGCGGTGAGTCCTGGGCTGTGAGAGTGCGGTGAGTCCTGGGCTGTGAGAGTGCGGTGAGTCCTGGGCTGTGAGAGTGCGGTGAGTCCTGGGCTGTGAGAGTGCGGTGAGTCCTGGGCTGTGAGAGTGCGGTGAGTCCTGGGCTGTGAGAGTGCGGTGAGTCCTGGGCTGTGAGAGTGCGGTGAGTCCTGGGCTGTGAGAGTGCGGTGAGTCCTGGGCTGTGAGAGTGCGGTGAGTCCTGGGCTGTGAGAGTGCGGTGAGTCCTGGGCTGTGAGAGTGCGGTGAGTCCTGGGCTGTGAGAGTGCGGTGAGTCCTGGGCTGTGAGAGTGCGGTGAGTCCTGGGCTGTGAGAGTGCGGTGAGTCCTGGGCTGTGAGAGTGCGGTGAGTCCTGGGCTGTGAGAGTGCGGTGAGTCCTGGGCTGTGAGAGTGCGGTGAGTCCTGGGCTGTGAGAGTGCGGTGAGTCCTGGGCTGTGAGAGTGCGGTGAGTCCTGGGCTGTGAGAGTGCGGTGAGTCCTGGGCTGTGAGAGTGCGGTGAGTCCTGGGCTGTGAGAGTGCGGTGAGTCCTGGGCTGTGAGAGTGCGGTGAGTCCTGGGCTGTGAGAGTGCGGTGAGTCCTGGGCTGTGAGAGTGCGGTGAGTCCTGGGCTGTGAGAGTGCGGTGAGTCCTGGGCTGTGAGAGTGCGGTGAGTCCTGGGCTGTGAGAGTGCGGTGAGTCCTGGGCTGTGAGAGTGCGGTGAGTCCTGGGCTGTGAGAGTGCGGTGAGTCCTGGGCTGTGAGAGTGCGGTGAGTCCTGGGCTGTGAGAGTGCGGTGAGTCCTGGGCTGTGAGAGTGCGGTGAGTCCTGGGCTGTGAGAGTGCGGTGAGTCCTGGGCTGTGAGAGTGCGGTGAGTCCTGGGCTGTGAGAGTGCGGTGAGTCCTGGGCTGTGAGAGTGCGGTGAGTCCTGGGCTGTGAGAGTGCGGTGAGTCCTGGGCTGTGAGAGTGCGGTGAGTCCTGGGCTGTGAGAGTGCGGTGAGTCCTGGGCTGTGAGAGTGCGGTGAGTCCTGGGCTGTGAGAGTGCGGTGAGTCCTGGGCTGTGAGAGTGCGGTGAGTCCTGGGCTGTGAGAGTGCGGTGAGTCCTGGGCTGTGAGAGTGCGGTGAGTCCTGGGCTGTGAGAGTGCGGTGAGTCCTGGGCTGTGAGAGTGCGGTGAGTCCTGGGCTGTGAGAGTGCGGTGAGTCCTGGGCTGTGAGAGTGCGGTGAGTCCTGGGCTGTGAGAGCGCCATGAGTCCTGGGCTGTGAGAGCGCCATGAGTCCTGGGCTGTGAGAGCGCCATGAGTCCTGGGCTGTGAGAGCGCCATGAGTCCTGGGCTGTGAGAGCGCCATGAGTCCTGGGCTGTGAGAGCGCCATGAGTCCTGGGCTGTGAGAGCGCCGTGAGTCCTGGGCTGTGAGAGCGTCGTGAGTCCTCGGTTGTGTGCGCGCAAGTGCGAGGTCTGGGTGATGTGTTTGGGAGTGTGACTGCGATCATGCGTGTCGTAGGGGCTGCGGCTGGGCAGATGAGTCAATCAAGTTTCAGTGACAGCGAGGTGAGGCGTGGTGTGGGTTATGGGCGCATGCGGGTAAGCCCTGATTGCCTGGTTGCCTGCGTCTTCTTGCTGCATCACCAGGCTGCATTCTACTGGTTGTGTAATCTCGAGATCCACTATGCCACCTACTTAGTGCCCGTCTGGTGGGTTCTATGGGCAACGCTCATCACAATCCTTCCGCACATGCATCACCGGCTATGTGTGGCATGGTTTGTGGCATATGCCATATGGTAATGGCGGAATGTGGCATGGCATGTGTCATGGCATGCTGCATTCATCATCAGGTACGGCGAGCGCTGCTCATCATGGTGGCACGCGGAGAGGTGGAGTACCGACGGGAGAGGAGGGTCATTTTCCGCAAAGTCTGACTGCTGCTTCTACTGCTGCTCTCACCGCCGCTTTCACAGTTGGTTTCACAGCTGCTCTCATTGCCATTGGAACTCTGACTACAGTACAACCACTGCTCTAGGCTCTAGTTTCTTAATGAGTTCAATAATGTACATTTTAGTACGCTGGTTAGAGAAGGACCTCAATGGTAGTGGTGAAATAAATTTCTAATGTTGACGGAAACAAGTTGGTGTAGTTTAGTCGTTACGTGCATTTTAATCACATTGCCACAAACAACAACAGCCATTCCTTCCTACTCAACCTGGGTGTTTTGGCCTTCATTCTTCACTCGCATCTGCTACTCTCAGTTACCTTTGCAACTAGGCACAGGCAGTTAGACTAGACTCCTCTCGTCATGCTTCACCATCTATGACTTCCCGGCCGTATTTTCCGCCTCTTCATCACTTCAGACACTATGGACTGTAATGACCCATGCATCCCTACGGCAGTTCAAAGTTCATCCAAACATGCTGGAACACGAACCTACATGGCATGCGCTTCGTGCTATACTCAACCTTTCACATCACTTGTACGCTGCAGTGCTCGAGCACATGCAATCCACAGCAACCTTCCCCCAACATACGGTATGGCCTGTTTAACATCATCACAACGGCCCCATGCTAGTGACAGGCTTATTCTGGCCCCATGTTCTCCGCATATGCAGCTATTATCTACAGAGTGGTGTATTGCAGCCGCCACCCGCCTTGATCTCCCTCCCCATTTCGCACCTCACGACCACCCACACATGCACTTGTTGCTTATGTCGTCTCGCACGTCCCTCGCTATCATATGCTAACTAGCCTATTAGGATCTACGGAGCCATCAAGCATGAAGATCTTGGCATCACGTCCAAGCTTGGTTACTTTGTGCAACTGGAGGACTCTCATATTCTTTAAGAATGCCATCAAAACATCAGATGCTGTAACATCTGTTCGGGGATGTGGGCGTTGGATGATTCTGTTGCAGCCCATTTTATAATATGGACACCCGAATATGAACAATGCCTTTCATAGGTGAGCAAACCTATGGGTCCCTCATTGCCCCTGCTCACTCAGCTGACCATGTAGCTCGCTCCCAGTGGACCACTCGCGGCGCTACTGCTGCCCTCGCTGTCCGTAGCCACCTTCCGCTCGACCAGCATCCCCATTTTTGTCAGCTTAAGACGGCGAAAGCGCTTTACGGCGCTATAGTCAAGCGTTACTCCTCCCCGGCCTCTGCCGCTATAGGACGTCTTGCACTACCGTTCCTCTTTCCTAAGTTGTCCGACATCACCACTGTCGCTGACCTCGTTATGCTCCCTAGACACTCGTTACCGTGCTGCTCTCGCTCAGAGTTTCTTGCTACAAACCAGCCCCCTATGTACATCACTATGTACTTCCTCACCACACGCCTCCCTGACACCCTTCGACCTGTCCGCGATCACTTTCTCACTCTCGATCCCACCAAGATCACCCTGGACTCGTTTGAGACCCACCTCTTAGAGGCTGAGTCCGCTGCTTGCGCCGTCTGTTGCCTCTGCTGCTGCTATTGACTTCCTGGGTGCTGAGAAGGTCGGTGCTGCGTCTGCTCCTAGTGGGAGGCGCCGCAGCGGCAAGGGCAAGGGGGGCAAGGGTGGCGGGGGTGGTGGTCGTGGTGGGGGTGGAGGGGGCGGCGGCGGAGGTGGCTGGGGTGGCGGTGGTGGTGGTGGTGGTGGTGGTGGTGGGGGGGGGGGGGAGGAGGCGGTGGTGGCAGCAGTGGAAGCGGAGGGGGTGGTGGGAGCAGTGGGGGTGGTGGAGGGGATGGGAGTGGCACTAGGGGCAGAGCTGGAGGTTCGGCCACACGCACTGCTTCGTCTGGCGGTGCAGAGGGTGGTGGGTGGCTCTGGGGGTGGCCAGCAGCCACAGCCGGATCGCCATGTGGCCCTCTCTCCGCAGCAGCTTCGTGCGTGGGCGATCAGTCGTGGCAACTCAAGTGGCCCCTCTCCCTGCGGGTACGTCCGCCTCACCGGTCACCCTGGTCAGACTTGCAGCCGTAAAGACCACACGGAGGCCCGTTGCTTCTGGCGCCTTGATGATCTGTATCGTGAGGAGCATGGTGAGCACCTGACGACCCCGGTTTGGGTGAAGTTGCTTAAGAAGGGCGTTGATGTGTTTGCTTGTGATTGGGACGCGATCCATGCTGGCATGTATGCAATGTATGCTGCTTCTACTAGTCATGAGAGTGACTATTACTCGTGTGTGCCTACATTTGCTAGTGTATAGGCTGCTAGTCTAGGTGCTTCTGACTCAACTAGCACGAGTGCAAGGTTCGAGGAGGCTCTGCACACTTTCCTCCTAAACTCCGGCACATCTCGCTGCTTTTTCGCGACAGCACCACGGTCACCCCACTCATAGTCCCGGTCCCTATCACTCTGGCCGACCCCTCTGGTGGCCCAGTCGTTGCTCATGGCTCCACGATTCTCCCATGTCCGGCAGCCCCCTCTGGTTCCCTCGCAGGTCTCCACCTCCCCTCGTTCGCCAAGAACTTGGTGGTTATCTCTGTCCTCCAGGATTAGTGGTTTACTGTCACTCAGCCTGGGGGTGAGCTAGTGGTGATCTGTACGGACTCATGCACTGGCGAGTGTCTAGCCACGTTCACTCGCAGGCCTGGGTATGGTCTGTACACACTAACCATTGAGTTCGCACAGGTAGCTGAGTCAGGTCAGGTAGCTGAGTCGGTTGAGGTAGCTATTTCTTGTTCGTGCCGTCTCCTCACGCACCAGACTCTCCTCTGGCACCACTGCCTTGGTCACCCCTCCCTGCCACGTCTGTGTCTGGTCTCCCCAGGTCCCTGCCCCACTCCCGAGGTCGCTTGCACCACCGTGCCTTCCCTGCATTGAGGGGCGGCAGCGCGCCGCTCCTCACTCCTTGTTTCCTCCTACCACAGCTCCTCTGCAGACCCTCCACATGGACGTGTGGGGCCCAGCCCGCGTCACTGGACAGGGCGGCGAGCGCTACTTTCTACTCGTTGTTGATGACTACACGCCCTAAACCATGGTCTTTCCCTTGCAGAGTAAGGCAGAGGTCTGCAGTGTCTTGATCCGCTGAATCCGCGCTGTCCGTCTCGAGCTTAGCGCTCGGTTCCGGCAGGACCTACCGGTCCTGCGGCTGCACTTTGACCGAGGTGGTGATTTTTGCTCCCGCCTCCTCGAGGACTTCTGTGGTGCTGAGGGCATCTGCTAGTCGTTCACGCTTCCGACCTCTCAGCCGCAGAATAGGATTGTAGAGCGTCGCATTGTCTTGGTCATGGAGGTTGCTCGCACCTCCATGATCCATGCGGTTGCTCCCCATTTTCTGTGGCCGTTTGTGGTCCGATACACCGCTACGCAGCTCAACCTCTGGCCCCATGTCTCCTTACCGCCCGGAGACCTCCCCTACTCTGCAGCGGACAAAAGAGGTTGGTGATGCGTCGGTGTTTCGAGTCTAGGGTTCCCTTGCTCTTGTCCGCGATCTTCCCTTGGGCAAGTTTTTCTCCTCGCACTCTTCGCTGCATCCTCCTTGGCTTCCCTACCGACGCCCCGCCCTGGCAGTTTTACCACCCGCGTTCTCGTGTCCTCTCCTCCCAGGTCGTCACCTTTGACGAGTCTGTCTGCTTCTACTGTCTCCACCCCCACCGCAGTTCCCCCGTGCCCCTCTCGCCTCTCTTCCTGGTACACGACCCCCCCCAGTAGCCCCCCTCCCCCCATAGGGTCCTGCTCCCTCAGGTGTGTCTCAGGTAGACCCACCCCCCTTGGTTGAGCCTTTGGAGGTCTCCTCTGACACTTCAAGCCCAGCTGAGGGGGGTTTTCGACTGGTGCCGACACTGTGGCCCCTCGCCACTCAACGCGCTTGGCGGCCCTTCCTGGTTTTCCGCCTCCTCTGCAGCCAGTTGCTGTGGACTCTGGTGCTGCTGGAGGTGGTGAGAGAGGGGGTGCGGACTCTGGGGGTGCTGGTTATGGGGGTGCTGAGTGTCCTACGGGTACAGGAGGAGCTGGAGGTGCTGCAGTTGGAGGTGCTGGAGGTGCAGATGCTGGTGGTACTGGAGTTCGAGGTGCTGGAGGTCCTGGTGCTGGAGACGCTAGTACTAGCGGTATGGTGCACACCGGCAGGAGACTCGAGCGGCTTCGCGAGTGGGCTGTCCGGTGGAGGTGCTGGAGGTGCTAGAGCAGGAGGTACTGGAGCTGCTGGTGCTGGAGGTACTGGAGCTGCTAGTGCTAAAGGTACTAGAGCTGCTATTGATGGAGGTGCTAGAGCTGGAGGTGCTGGAGGTACTGGAGCTGCTGGTGCTGGAGGTACTAGGGCTGCTGGTACTAGAGGTACTGGGGCTGCTAGTGCTGGAGGTACGGTAGGTGCTGGTGCTGGAGGTGCTAGAGCTGGAGGTGCTGGAGGTACTAGGGCTGCTGAAATTGGAGGTGCTGGAGCTGCTGGCCTTATTCTGCCTCTCCTGTATCCTCCGTCTCCTCCCGCGTCCTCTCTTCCTGTCGTTCCTAACCCTGAGTTCGACCTTGCTCGTGCTGCTAGTCCTACTGTCACTCGTCTCCTCGCTACTGTTGTCACTGACCCTTCATTTGGGTCTACTGCTGCTTTTGCCCTAGTCACTGAGCTAGTTGACTTTGTTGCTACCCGTCGTCTCGACTACGTCGCGGATCTTGTTACTGAGTCTGAGTCTATCTGTCCTCCGTCCGTCTAGGGTGAAATTGCCCTTGGTTGTAACGTCCTTGAGGACAGGCAGTTTCAGCTCGAGTGTCGTGTGGCCGTGTTACCCCATTTCGCGTCCATGATGATTTGCCCTGATGGAGACCCGGATGCACTTGACATTCCTACCCCGCGCTCTTACGCACAGGCGATCATGGGTGAGAAATCCTCTCAGTGGCAGGCACCCATGGACACCAAGATGGCTTCCTAGAAGTCCACAGGCACCTACGTTGACAAGGTTCCCCCTCCTGGGGCGAACATAGTCGGTGGCACGTAGATTTTCAGGGTGA